CTTACGAGTGCAGGGACACTGAGCACGTCGCTTTCTGTACCCTGTGTCTGCATCTGTGAAACGGTCATGTCCTAAGCCTCTCAGCAAACCGGCAGGAAGATCAGAGGGTGTGTGCATGTGTGTGTGTGTGCGTGTGTGTGTGTGTGTGTGTGTGTGTGGCTGTGTGTGTGGTACTGGGGAGGGAACCCAGGGCCTTTGCATGGAGCTGCATCCCCAACCCTTTTTATTTTTTATTTTGACACAGGGTCTCACAAGTCACTGGGTTGCTCAGGCTGGGCTCGAACTTGTGACCCTCCACCTCAGCCTCCCAGAGTTCTGGGATCACAGGGTGGCCACCAGGCCCAGATAGAGGGAATTTTTAAAATAGTAATATTGATGAGCATGGTAGTTGCTGTGGTTTATATCCAGATGTCCCCTAAGAGCCTCATGCACGCAGAGGCAGGCTTGTGGAAGGCGATGGGTTTGGAAGCTCAGAGCTGCCTTGCTGTTGAAAGGCAGAAGAGCCAGCACGGGGCTCGGCCTGGAAAGGGTGGCTCTCCCTCCTCAGCTCCTCCCTCCACTCTGCTTTCTGTGTGCCAGGCCCTGAGCACTTTCTCCTTGCAATGTCCCTCTGCCATGCTGTTCTGGCTTGGAGCCAGCCAACCGTGCACCAGAACCTCTACAAACCGTAAGCCAAGGTTAGCCTCTCTTCAAGCTGTGGGTGTTGTGTTGTGTCTCAGCAGTGAGAACAGGACAGTGTACAGCTATAACTGCAGCTATGCAAGAGGCTGAGGCAGGAGAATTGTTTCAGGCCACTGTTATGGTTTGTGTCTGGATGTCCCCCCAAAGCCTCATGCAGTCATGGGGTGGGCTTCTAGAGTTTATGACTGATTCATGGTCCAATGTTGGAATTATGAATGGAGCGCTACTCCTGCCCTGGGGCGGGTAGTTCGCATACAATGTAAGGGAGGGAAAGAGCTGCCTGCCACCTTGTGCTTTTGTTGCTTTACTGTTTTCCCGCTGCCATGAACTGTTGCCCTCTGCCATGTGCCACTCTGCCTTGGAGCCAGCCAAGTATGGACTGAAATCTCCACAAACTGTGAGCTAAATAAACCTCTCCTTCCTTAATATTGGGTGTCAGGTACTTTGTCTCAGCAATGAGAGAAAAGTAACCAAGACAACCACCCTGGGCAGCTTAGTGAGAAACTCGCCAAAAAGGGGGTAGAGTGGGGATATTATAGCTCAGCGCAAAGGCCCTTGGTTCAAGCTCTGGTATCCTCAGAGAGGGAGAGGGTGAGGGAGAGACAGACAGACAGACAGAGACAGAGAGAGAGAGGCAGAGAGACAGACAGAGATAGACACACCAGATGTGCTGGATGTGTGCCCCCTCGTTAAAGAAAGTGTCCTAGGCTGTAGCCCGGCCAAGGACGCTGAGGACACAGGTGGCTGCCCTGCCTCTGTCAGAGGACTCCTCCAAGCTGCACCAGCATCAAACCCAGGCCTGGCTCCCCACTTCCTTCCCTGACACCCTGCTCAGTCCTGAAACATAGCTTATTGGGTGGCCGCTCTGACACAGGAGGGGCTGTGGAGGCCTGGAGGCTGGGCTCGGCGGTGTGCGCTGTCACTGAGCCTGGGCACCCGCAGGCCCAGACCCGAAGCTCTGAGAGGGCCCTGGGCTGGTTGGTCTCAGCTGTCCTGTCCTGTCCTGGAAAGGCCGGGGCAGCAGTCTGCTCAGCATCCAGTGCGCGCCCCGCCCTTCTGTGCACTTCGGTTTACTTTCTGCCCAAAGGGAAGGAAGAGAAGGAATCCAGGAGGTTAGCAAGCAGAGATATGAGCCCACGGGCAGCAGCGCTCTGGTTACTCGGGCAGTGGCCTGGTTACTCAGGAGGCTGAAGCAGGAGGATCACTTGAGCGTGGGAGGTGGAGGCCAGCCTGGCAAGATAGCAAGACACTTCCCCACAGCACAAGAAAAAAGCAGTAACCAAACCAGCACCCTGAGGGACTCAAGAATTAAGAGTTGACTTCAAGGGTCATTCCCTATAGCTATACACAGGACTGAACGTGCTTCTTAAGGTATATGCATCGTTCAGTAACACACAGGCTGTTTAAAACACCCAGCTCATTCGGGATCTGGGGAGGGACAATGAGACATCATCCTTTCTTTTGATTTCTGAACTTAACCAAAGCCAGGTCGTATCTGAGATGCAAAGGCCCGGGCTCTCAATATCAGGTTAGGGATGGGGGTGGCTCAGTGTGAGTGCCTGCCTTCCTCATAGGCCCAGCACCAAAACACCAAGCAAACAGCACCAAAGCTGGCCTGGCTTCAGTCTAAGCCAGCTCCACACAGAACAGTATAAGTGCTGCGCTCGGCCAGCGAACCCAGCTTCGGGAAAGTGCCGCCTGGGGTGGGATTTTGCAGGTAGCCTCTTAGCACAGCTCCTGTACTTCTCCCCCACGGAAGGATGGCAGGTGGGCTATCGCTAGAGTGTGTGTGTGTGTGTGTGTGTGTGTGTGTGTGTGTGTGTGTGTGCGGGTGTGCGCGCGCGTGCGTGGACACGGATGTGTGTGTGTGCGTGTGCACTGCCCGGCGGGGTGGGGGGGACCGGGGCCTCACCCTGCAAGGCCGGCGCTCGCTTCTGCGCTGCCCCAGCCCCGCACAATCATTTCCATGGAGCAGATTGGCCTACACATGAGGATCTAAAGCCAAAGCCCCAAAAGAAGCCCCAAGCCCCACACTGCGTGCTGTGTAGTGGGAGAAGGAAGTAGCAACTGTGACACAAGACCATTCTGCCATTCAGCAGGACACTCAGAAGATGCGGTACCTGAGAAATGTGCCCCGGGTCGGCCTGAAGAGGAAGGAGCACTTCTCCTGGTGCCCGTTGCCGAAGGGGCTGGAGATGCTGACCGGGGCGTCGGCCAGCTCCGCTGAGCCCAGGGCCTCCTGGCAGAGGGGGCAGCACCCCGGCACCCTGAAGCTGTAGATGGATCGCTTACAGTGGTTGAATTTAATCAAAGGCTTTCCAGCCTCAGTGCCTTGCATAGTGTGTGCCCCCGGGCTGCCAGGAAAGGGTTGTGGAGACTTCCTTGCCCTCCTTACACAGCTGGCTGCACTGCTCTGCTGAGTAACCTGATGAGGGTGGCGTCACCAAGCCTACCGGGAAATGGAGTTAACCAGTAACCAGGCCACCCCAGACTGAGTTCTTAAAGAGCTAGTTCTCATTTGTGCTCGGTGACCAAGTTTCTTCTCCCGAGGTCCTGTACATTTTGCCCCTGGTGACAGCCAGCTCCTATTCATCTCTCAAAACCCTGTTCTTCCGTACAGGCTTTCTCAGCTTCTGCCAGTGTTTCCTTGCCCTGCCCTCTGGACTTCTGTTTTAACCAGAACCTCATTATTTAATGAGTCTTTTGATTTTATCTTTCCTGTTAGTCTGAGAAGTCCTTGGGTTTGGGAACTGACCTACACATGTATGTATTTTTCAGGACGGTGACAAGCACTTGCCTAGCATGTGTGAGGCCCTGAGCTCTGTCACCAGTGGCACAGTACGTGCCTACCGCATTTGAGTGTCCTGTCCCCTGACCTTCGTTTCTGTGTTCCTAGAGCACACTCTTTTGTTCTGTTGTTGCACGCCTGAGTGAAGTCCTTCCTTCTAGGACAGCGTGTTTAGACTTTTTCTTACCACAGCAGCAAACCTGCTCACGGAGACGGTCAAGGCGACCTGGGGAAGGGATCCTACACTGGAGAGGGCAGAGGTGGCTTCTGGGCCTGGGGCTCTTCTTTGATCTTTAACTCAGTTTCTATTCTATTGAAGAATTCAGTTTGTGAGAATTCATTGTGCTCCATGTTGTTTTTCAACTTTTAAAATACTTTAAAGCAACTTTGCAAAAACATACAAGGAAAGAAAATAGCACCCCTCCTTTTTCCCATGCCTTTTCCCACACACTATATTCCACTCCCTGGGTGAAGCCATGGTAAGTTTGAGGCTATTGCTTCTTCTTCTTCTTCTTTTCTTCTCCTCCTTCTTCTCCTCCTTCTCCTCCTTCTCCTCCT